AATTTATGGGAACAGGAATTCAGAGAACAGAAAGTAAAAAAGAAAAATATTTGGTGCAGACATGTTAGGCAGTCCATTCAATGGAAGGGCCAAATTGGATCTGACATTTTTCAATGTTGTCCTTTTGATCCATTGTACATATCATGTAGAACAACCAACACTGATTAGATTCATAGATGTCTAATTAAAATTAAAATGAGTAGTAAGTGCCCCAAATTGAATTCCCCCATTTTTTTTTAGATCAAGCAACAAATGTCACATGTAGGTTATCTAGATTTCTAATTCTAGGAACCCAAAGGAAGCAGATTATCATTCTATGATCTGGAAGGGATATTTGTCTTAAAAGTGCAAGGAGGTAAAATATGAGGTATCCACCATTTCTAATTTCCATAAAGAACACAAAACAAAAGGATGAAATGATAAAAACAGAAGTTAAAAAGATGCCTTTTGGGCAGTCAGATTAGCTCTGTGGTTGGTGTGTGTGTTATTTGAGATTTCTTTATATTTATTATCAAGAAAACAGTTCCATCTGACACAGAAAAATTGTATTTGTTCTGAAAATTGTATGGACAATGAGGCAACATCGGTTTTGAATTGCATTGCATTGTTTGTGTATTGCTAGAATTTTCACATACCCTAACATTTTGTGTATTGCTAGAACTAGTTCATATACTAAAGACATACACTTGCACATATGCTAAATTTGCACATACACCAAAGTATGTTGCCAAAAAAGTGAATCTTTTTTGTCAACACATTTTATATAGTGTTTTACTCATTCATATGTATATTTATATACAATGCTTTATTTTTAAAAAGTATTTTAAATGTTTGATAGATCAGTGTAACAATAGGATGAAAATATCTTTAAAAAAGAAATAATATGTACAGTTGTACTGTTTCCTTCCAGATAACGCAATAAACAGAAATATATGTGACAAAAGTATAAGCCATGGTAAATTTTACAAGCTAAAATTTTAGAATATTTTTACATGAACTGACAAGCAAAATGCAATAGGAAAGGAACAGAAAAATAAATACCTTGCCTGACTGGAAATCAAAATTAAACAATGGCACTATGAATTTCAAATAATATACCACCAAAAGAGTTTTGAACCATTTAGTTGGGCACACATCCATTTTATACGCACTGTAAATGCACTTACACAAACAAATGATTTAAGTAGACAATTTTTCTGCTCTTATGATTTTTACCCTAGGCTAATCTGTTAATAACATCTACTTCTTTCAATTAAAAAGATCCCTATATAAAACCTAATCCTCATCCCAGAATCCTTTCTTTTTCATCAACAAGTTTAATCATGAGGAAAATAGATGCTATAGTTCCAACTGTTTATTCTAGAAAAGAAAATGAAAAAATAAATATTGGACACTTTGACACACAAAATAAATATGTTCTTTTCCAACTACATGATTAGACATACATATTTGCATATAAAAATCAGTTGTAGCAGCCTTTAAATAATTTAGTTTTATTTAGTTGTATTTATAATACATAATAAATTTATTTATTGGAATGTATAATGTCTTTGTATTTATATTCTTTATGGAACCTACAGTGTAATAAATTTATCCAGGCACCACTTCATTTGTCCAAAGTTACATACAAAAGCATATTGCATGGGTTTCCAATAAATTAACAGAATTAAAGATTCTATTATTTCATTAGGCTATAATTATTTATGCATTTATTGAAACTCATGACAAATTCAGTCAATTACAAATGGAATGTATCATTAGTTACTAAAATGTTCCATTATATGTTTACTTAAATATGTTATTTAGATAATCTATGTGGCCTCTGGTCTATAATGAAGATCAATGAACTTTTTAATCTACATTTGTCAGTCTATAAAAGTGAAACAAAGATATCTACTGTCTCCTTTGATTTTAAATGTCAACTTAAAAGACTTGATTTCTGTTATTAGGCAAGATCATATTTATGGTTTTTTGTATAAGCCATTCAAATATAAATTGGTATTACATGCTGAAATTATTTTAATGTTTATGAATTTTATATTTTGATTCCAGCTTTGGTTCACACAATTAATATTTTTATATTATTTTCTCAACTCAAATTTTCAGATATTTTATTTATAATGGTACTCCTATTACATGGTATTCCTATTACAATATTAAGAATTCACTATTCTTTTCTTGAAGAAACTCTACAATCATGACTGTTATAAATGGAATTTATCAAAAATACTTAACCAAGAGTAGAACTATACATTTTTCCCTTTACCAAGAAGTGCTATTTAATCACAACCACATAAGATATTCTCAAACAATTCATCAGTAACTGCATTTTTAGAAAGCAAATATTACAGATTTTAATGTATATTAAAATAATAGCTTTCATCATTACCAGCAATTGCTATTATCAATAATTTAATTTAAAATACATAAAAGAATATATTAGTTTCCTATTGGATCAACTTGATATCCTATCCTTATTAAGCAGCATTTTTGCAACGTATTGATGTTACTAATAATGAAGCTAAAGAACTGGTTTCCATTATGCTCATAACTACAACCCAGTTTCTGAATATTCAGTGAGATCAGAAAAAAGCTATTTTATAAAAATTCTTCAATCAGTTTCAGATTTCTTACATATATGAAGGAAAGGATGTTCCTTCAACCAGTGTTAACATCCTACTTCATCTATACTACTAAGTTCATTACAATGCCAAAGCATTCTACAATAAAATAAGTACACATAATAAAGATTAAAGATGCCTAAATTTATGTACACTAGAGCGCTTTCCATGTACTTGTGGTCTTTAATATGTTCAATTGGGATCCTAGGCTTGCTCAACTCTAATGAATGCATGTCATGGATTTGTTTGAGATGCAGTTCTTAAAGTCTTCTACCCATTGTGTCTTCAGGGGAAAATACCCTATAACAAGGAAATTAAATTTCCAAAATATCAACTTATAGTGAATTTAAAAAATAGAAAAGGGATTGTACTCATTCTGTAATGAAACCAGTATCTCCATGGCAACCAGTGATGGGTTCCGGATCCTGGTGCAACTGGTATGGTGCAATGGGCCGGGCATCCACCACATGAACGCGCATAGCACGCACGCAAAAGTGCAGCTTCCATGATGCTCCAGTTGCTTGGCGGAGCGTCGCACAGGCGCCGTAGCTCCGTGCGCCTAATCCCGAACAGCTCAAATACCGGTAAGGAGCGTGAGCTGGTGGGCCCTCCAGAGCACCATACTGGAACGGTACCTGGTGCTCCCAGCAGGCACCAGTATGCCTGTACTGGGGCGTACCGGTCGTAACCGACCACTGATGGCAACCTTTCCCTGAATTGAATAGTTAAAAATTCAGGATATATTTAGATTCTATCAGTTTTGTTGAAAGTATCTCAAATTTTTTTAGAACCATTGATCGCTTTTAAAATATAGTAGCAGTGTGTTCATGGAGAAGAAAAATGTTAAATTAAGGATAAATTTCTATTTTATTATTTTTAAAATTATATACATTAAGAATATTTTTTAGAAATATTTTAGCTGTAACTTTGACTTTAGAAACCTTCCGGAATGTACCGTATGTTTCGGAGTATAAGACACTCCGGAGTATAAGACCCACCTAGATTTTGGGAAGGAAAACAAGGGAAAAATATGTGCCTCTGCTTCTTAGCAATTTGCCTCCTTGCAACAAACAGTACAGACAATATACACTGTCTGTATTTCAGACTATACTTGTACAGATGCTGTTAAAATTGATGTGCTTTCTGGAAGTATAGTTATTCTCTGCTATTGAAAAGAATAGCACTTTTTAAAACAATTCCACAAAACCTCTTCAGATCAAGCATTTATTTTAAAAAGCTTCTTCATTTTGTTAAATTGTCTAGAATAATAATAAAGCAGTCTTTA